TACCGAAATCAATAACCTACGATTACCGTAACTCAGCACGAAACCCCTACTTCCCAACCACACAACTCCAGTCGTCAACAATGTCAACCGAATCAACAGAAACCCTGATACCAGACGTATCGCCAACAGAGCGCCATGGCTACCTCTTCGGTCACCCAATTGCACACTCAATGTCGCCTCTGCTACACAAGACTGTATACGATGGACTAGGTCTAAAATGGGCACAATACCCTCTAGAATCAAAAGACATGTCTCTCTTCCTCCAACTAATCAAACACCCACAATTCTACGGTAAGAAGCCAACATCCCAAACCAACAATATCCAACCCCAGAATCCTAACCTTCTCCAACAGGCGCATCCGTAACCATGCCCCACAAAGTCGCCATCCTCCCCCATCTCGACGGCCTAACAGAAGAAGGCCGTGACGTCGGCGCCGTAAACACCCTCTTCATCCAAGAAGACCCCTCGACAGGAAAACGGCTCTACATGGGCACAAATACAGACGTCATCGGCATCCGCGACGCCTTCGCCTATAACGTCGACGCCTCAAAGTACGAAAACAGACCCGCTCTCGTCATTGGCGGCGGTGGCGCAGCACGAAGTGCGGTTTACGCACTGAGAAAATGGATGAAAGCCAGTGCAATTTATCTTGTAAGTTTTTCTTCCTCATTTCCCTTTAACTTCCGCCGCCCCCCCCCCCCCCGTGATGGGAGAAAAAATATCTTGCAACGAGTTATATGCTAACGTAAATTCAAAAAAATAGGTAAACAGAGACGCAGCAGAAGTCTCGGCTGTAATTTCCGAATGCAACGCCCGCGGCTACGGCTCCTCCCTCGTCCATGTCTCCACAGTCTCACAAGCACAATCGCTGCCCGGCGTCGGCGCAATCGTATCCTGCGTCCCCAACTTCTCGCCTGTGACACCCCAGGAGATAGAGGCGCGGAACATCCTCAATTGCTTTTTGCAAAAAGAGCACAAAGGAGCGCTGCTGGAGATGTGCTACCACCCTACTACATGGACCGAGATTGCAGAGATAGGGAAGAACGAGGGGTGGCAGATTGTACTGGGGACTGAGGCGCTGATTTATCAGGGATTGGAGCAGGATCGGTATTGGACGGCGAAGGAGGTGAGGGAGTTGCCAGTGGAGAAGGTGCAAGAGGCTATTGCGAGGAAGTTGAGTGAGGCGAGGTTGTAAATGTACATACTATGACTTGAACGAGCAAAAAAAAGAAAGAAATAATCGAAGATTGATATATAATTCTATAAATTTGCCATGATTTCTTAAAGACTAGGTTCTATGCTCCTGGACGGGAATAGTCTAGATGTCGTACCCGCCTCCACACCTCGCGCACCGTTCTTTCTTGACTCTGCCGTCCTGTCTCTGTCGCAGACGGTCCTGCAGGTCTGGATATCTCCTCGTTAGCCACATTCTCCACACTCCAACGAAAGAAGACAAAAGGAATCAGAAGAGAGAAGAGAAAAAAAAAAGGAGAACGTACCGAATAGCCAAATACAACCGACTCCCCAACCCCACCTCCTCAATCGGCGCGTTCGCCCAATCCTCAGGCGGATTCGCCGTAGTAACCAATCCCCCAGCTTCCTGTAAAATCGCAATTCCAGCCGCAACATCCCACTCCCAACACCCGCCTTCCCACCAGATATCCGCCCCACCCATAGCCACATAGGCCAAATCCAGCGTTGCACTGCCCAAACTCCTGACGCCATGTACCATGCCGCCCTTGCCGCCTCTGCCGCCAATTTCCGCCGCCATGTTGAGAAAACTTTCAACTTTACGATGCATGTTGCCGTCGGGAACATCGCGCCTGTCCTTGCCCCATTCGCACGCGAAGACGCAGCCGGCGGGCGCATTGGCGGGCATGGGCGGTATGCTGGGTTTCTGGATGAGCGGGAGGCGTTGGGTTTCGTTTAAGAAGGCGCCGCGGCCGGCGCACGAGGTGAAGAGTTGGTTGGTAAAGGGGGCGCAGATGACGCCGATGAGGGGCTTGTTGTTGTGGATGAAGCCGATGCTGGTGCAGAAGGTGGGGAAGAGGTGGATGTAGTTTACGGTTCCGTCGAGAGGGTCGACACACCATGTTGGAGAGGCGTCGATAAGGTAGTTGCGCGACGAGTTTTTGGAGTAGGTTTCTTCGCCGATGAATCTGGGGATTGTTAGGTGGACGAGGGGAAGAGTGGGGAGGTGGGAATGTACTTGTGGGAGGGATATTTTTCTTGAATTTTCGTCTTGATGAAGGTTTCGACGTTTTCGTCGGTTTCGGTTACTAGGTCTACTGCGTTCTCTTTTTGTACGTGTTGTTTTTCTTCTGTTGTTGCGTTGTCGCTGTTCATTCTTGCTTGGGCGGCGTCCATGAGCATCTTCCCCGCCTTCTTCCCCAAATCCACCGCGAACGCATAGATCTCGTCTAACTCTTCTCTTGAGAGCTCAGCCATGGTAATTGTGCGTTTGTGTATGTGTAAGAGCTACTCTTGGAAGACGAAAGGGTATTGCGCTGCGGTGGCCTGCATACATTGCAACCCATTGCGCCGCTAGTTTCCTACCGTCTGAAGCCGTACCGGCTAACCACGGTGGAAAGGCCCACAGATCCTATGCATTGGGGCGTCATGTGTCCTGGTTTGGGAGTTGGGGAAGGAAGGCCGATCGTAGGCCTATGGGTAAGTCCTTTTCCGATTCCGACATCGATCCAAGGCTCGGAATGAGCGTTGTGGAGACAAACACCAAGATGCTCCACACACGCGTCTTCCACAACTCTTCTACTTGACAGTACTCCAAACACTTGAGTGTGACACCCAAAAGCACATCTGAAAACATGTCAAAGACAAAATCTATCCTCCTAATCAACGGCCCAAATCTCAATCTTCTCGGCACGCGCGAACCCGCAATCTACGGATCCACCACCCTCTCAGACGTAATCTCCTCCGCCACAGAACAATGTACCAAGCTCTCTATACAATTCTCACATTCCCAATCGAATCATGAAGGCGTATTAGTAGACCGTATACATGAAGCGCGTGGCAATGTCGACTTTATCGTGATCAACCCTGGAGCTTTCACGCACACGAGCGTGGCGCTGCGGGATGCTTTGAGCGGTGTGGATATACCGTTTGTCGAGGTTCATATCAGCAACATTCACAAAAGAGAAGCGTTCAGACATCATAGTTACCTGAGCGATAAGGCTGAGGCGGTGATCTGTGGGCTAGGTGTATTTGGATACGAGGCGGCTATTGAGTATGCTGCCAGGTTCCTCGAGAACAAGGAGAAAGAAGAGAAAGCAAGACTTTAGCGATTTGGTCGACTAGTTTTTGTGTACGATCAATCAAATGGCCCCTGCACTAACCGGAGACGGCCCTTGACACGTCAAGCGTTCGTACTCCTGAACCCCTCGCTGATATCTTGTCTTGCTTCCAAGTATGTTTGAAGTGCTGCAATAGTTGGTAACAGAAGCATAGTCACACTCAATGTCTGCCCGAAGCCCCATGTATTTTCTTCATCGTCATGTAAACCGCAAAACCTTGCCGGATCCTCAGGAGCAGCAAACTTTTGAGTCAAGACTAAGATTGCGGAAAGGATTGCCAGCAGTATCTGGACTACAAATGCAATGGCTGGGTTGAGAAAGATGTAATACATGAGCTGTATGCCAAATCGAGCTGGAAACAGTTTTCGGAACACGAATCTCTTCGTGTATAACTCTCTATCCGTAACGCGACGTATGAGAGCTTGGAAAGAGCTTTCTGAGGAAGATAGTGGCGACTCAACTTCGAGACCTTCTGGATTGTACAGGATACATACTAGCGCTGTCGAGAAGCCAATGATTATGAGAAAAAAGGGTACCAGTAACGATAAACGCTGAACCCGGGTCTTGATTAACTTTACGCCATTGCTAGCTACAACCATTGTTGGTGATAGGGCAATGGCAGCCATCATGGAAGTCATAAGAAATATTGCGAAGCAGATGACGAGTATGAGGCGAATCTTTGCAATCATTCTGTACCTTTGAAAGTACTTGCGTAGTGTTATGAGGGCAGCGAGGTGAGAGGATGACGACAGAGCGCAGATGTATAGGATTAGGACAAAATGGGCGCCTTGAACTTTGAAGGCCATCTCAGACACCTAGAAAATTTTCATTAGTGTAAAGATTCCAGAGGAGAGTAAGAACGTACCTTTATCCATCCACTGAGCAATACAGCGTATCCTGTGATGAGCTGCTGATCACCCAGGCCTATGATCAGCGGATCCAGGAAAGGACGCCATGCGTAATGCTTTTTCCATTCGTGTTCTAAGAAACGTTCGCGAATAAATTTTAGTGGTGCGTGGACAGTAAATTGGCCTTTGGTATCGAAAGCTTGATCGAGAAGCATAGCAAGAATCGAGGCAAACGTAGTCATGAAGCTCGCAATGACAAAGGAAATGACAACCTGCCAAATACTCTGTAAGCTGGACCACAGATAGTAGGCATACCCACTCACACTAATGCCAGCGATGTCAGGCTCAGCTCCGTTGCCACAATCTCCACCAAAAGACTCAGTGGTATCGAAAGTGACCCAGGGTGGTGCCATAATGTGACTGGGAGATCAAATGTTGGGAATGAACCCGTGGAACTGAAAATAGTAACTGATTGTGATTCGGGGCTCGAGTGTCGCTCTGCAAGGTGCATCATGTGTGCCTTCGAGAAGGATTTGCAGGAATTAAGATGAGAGAGGCGAGGGGCTCATAGGAAAAGGGACAGGTAGCGGATCTGTGGGTGGGAGGGAGATGGCATCGAGTGAGGATGTTCAATTGACGCGCAATTGAGGGAGGTAAGAAAATAGGCCGACCATTCAGTGTGTCACATGGCAAGAGGAGTGGAGGCAGTAGCCACCAAATGCACGGAAAGCTACCTAGCTCAACGCCAACAAATATTTAAAAACAAATCATAAAACATGCATTTTTCGGGGACATCCAAGCGGAATTTTCGGGTATCAAACGCAACTCTAGTCTACATATTTACTTCTGCTTGCTCTTTGCCTTGACCCGGGCAGCTAACTTCTTGATGTCCTCCTCTCCACCCACCGTATCTTGCTTTGACTTTTTACTACCCCGTTCCACCTCTGGCTCATCATCGTCTTTTCCTTGCTTTCGTTTCTTGCGGCCTTCTTCTAACAGCGCCTTCATACCTGCAGTTTCCTTGAAGCGAGGATTTGTAGGATCAATGGCAAACTCATGACTCTCATACAACTTCGCGAAACGTGGATCAGTAGTATTGATCTTGAAGTTGTCTTCCACCACTGGAGCATTCTTCTTGGCCTTCTTTCCCTTCTTCTTAGCCTTCTCTGACTTGACAATTTCGTTCATGTCAAAGTGGCGCATCTTGGAATCGTCCTCATCAGCCATGAGCAGCTCCAGATTTGCACGTTCTGCTGCAGCTGCCTGGTCTTGCAGCTCCTGCTCTGCCTTCTTGGCTTTCTTGGCTTTCTTAGCCTCTTGCTTTGAGGCCTTAGCTGCTTCTTCGGGATCAGAGGCAAAAAATGGATCGTTGAATGGGTCATCATCATCCGCATCCGCTGACTTAGTAGCTTCCTGTTCGGCAGGAGCATCAGGATCTCTGCCAGCTTTCCTGGCAGCCCACCTCTCTTTGCGCTTCGCTTTCCTCTCCCTCTCCTTCCGTATGTACTTCTCCATGGTCGTCTCTTGTACAGGAATATCATTCTCAAACACACCACCACTGCCGCTCTCCTTTGACAGGCCTCCAGTAAAAGTAATTTGCATTTCACTATCCGGCTTTGGAAAGTCGCGGTCATTCTTTGCGGACGCTTTCTTCTTCGCTTTGGAGGTCTTGCCGGGTGCCTCAAGGCCTAACGCTGCTCTGAGACTTGCAGCCTTGTCTGCCTTTGCAGCCTCTTCTTCATCTTCAGAGGATGAGGAATCAGTGCCCAAGTACGCTTGCAGTTCATTTTCGTCGATTTCTTTGCGCGAAAAGGCACGCTTTTGTACTTCCTTCCTCGTGGCGTCGTCAGCATCCCAGGTCAGCTTGACCTTTGAGTGGGTGAGCGCGTCTGTCGAAAACTCATTCGGCTTATAGCCATCGGGGAGCTTGGAGCATTCATCGTGGGGATCTTGGTCGAACGTGGTACCGTCTGGAACGAATCGTAGGTCGAAGAAGTTTGCGCTTGTTAGGTACTCCCTGCCATCGAGATTGTCGTAAATGGACTTTGCAACATTAGCAGAAGAGCATGTGATGATAGCGTAGTAGTATCGTAGTCGGTCGAGTTGGTAGGCTCTCAGCTTGGTCGAATCAAACTCTTCGCCAGTTTCTTCTTCTTGCAAGACAGCATTTGACTGGCCCTCACCGTCCGTATCTGAGGCATCGGAATCATTGTCGGACATGCCGATATTGTCCTTATCCTTGTTCGCGGTCGAGGCGAAGATCTCCCGGGGCGGACCTTCGATCTCCTCTCGCTGCAGACGCTCCATGCCAAACTCGCTTGGGTATATGACCACGTTGAGGATTCTTCCTTCAGCTGGAACGAAAGAGTTTGCGACAGCCATGATGTCGATGGCGCGGATGTTGTCCCAGTCCATGTTGACCGCAGCCAGACGTGCGGAGATGTCACCAGTTGGAACTTCGTTGCCCTCGCCAGCAAGTTCAGCCTGCTCGTAGATGTCTGCCTCTTCCTCTTCGTCGCTAGAGCTTTCATCTGACGAGGATTCAAGCCCACCGTCTCGAATTGGGTCAAAGCCTTGCTGCTCAACCCGCTTTATTTCCTTCAGAACAGCCTGATCCCGCTTCTTACCGGCAGGACGCTCGGGTTCATCGTCTTGGTCGTCGTCATCCCCATCACTATCCATCTCGTACAGCCTCTCGACAACCTTCTTGCCTGCGTCTTCGGATATCTTGCGGCCATACTTGTCGACCTTGGCCTTGTTGTAAAAGTCCGGGTCGCTCTTTATGCGCGCGAATCGTGGATCAAGCTTGGTCTTGGTGTGCTTCTTGGAGGGCAGTCGAAACTTGGGGTCGGTCTGGAAATTTGCAAATCGCGAGTCGCCTGTGAATTGTAAGTGGGCTATCCAGTATTGTGCGAGATGGCGTCGCATGGCTTACTGGCAGACACACTGGCCTTTTCTGACCTTTCGGCCTTTCCAGCCTTCTTTGGCAATGTCTGTCGCTTGGGGAGAGGCATTGCGCAGTTCTTGTGTATGATTGCAGTCGGTAAATGTGAATGCGACGCGCGCCTGGGAGCTACTGAACTTTTTCTGCCGGGCGGTAGCGTATCGGCGGCAACGAGCGCTTATTGGATACCATCTCGGGGGTCCAAGCTGAGCCGGGGTCGAGATGCCGATCTGGGGAAGCTGCGTCACCATCATACAGGTTAGACCAAGAGGGGAAATGCATCACACGACGGAACCGCTTGGAACCAGACCGCTCCTCAACCATTTTCCTCCTTGAAGCCAACATTCATCCTTTCTTCTCATCCAGCATACCAACAATAGCGGAACAGTCACTCGAAACATCACCATGACTTACACCAGGCTTCTCACGTAAGTCACTCAATTGGGCTATTCAGCTGAGCCCCCTTTCCCACCGACTCTGTAGCTGACACCGCCACTCTTTCCAGACCCCGCAGCATGGCGGTGCTGTCTATCATCTCCTTGGGAGGCGGCTACTTCACTCTCAAGTCACGTACGCTTGCAGAGAAACAGAGAGTTCGCAGCAATGGTGACTTTGCGGTCTCCGTTGACCGATCCGGTAGGTCCTGTCATGCGCTGATAAACGCCCTACAGTGCTGACTGCGGGACATAGGTGGTGGTATTTGAGTACAGAACACACTTTGTTACATCTCGATAGCAGAGGCCCTGCTGTCTGGCGTTTCTTTTTCGGTGGCGTACACAATCTCGGCTTATTTCGTTTCCTTATCAAAGTTATGCCTGCAGCATCGTATATTGTCCCGACGCGTGCAGGCGACTCGAATAGCGGTATTTTGTAGCAATAAATTCGATCTTCGTTAACAGAACACGACACTGAAGCTATTACTTGCTGAGAGACCTGTGCTTGATGTCACGTGAGTGTCTGGTACGACAAAAGGCCTCGTAAACATGCACTGTGCACAGGGCGAAACACCTTTTTATAGCAGCGAGAACACATGCCTTCCATGTTGCCCGTTATAGGCTGGGTTCCGTCTCAAACTCCCTAGTATACGAGCAGTGCGGATCCGTTGGGTAGCCACAATTGGCCGACCCACCCGTTGCTAAATATAAACCACTCAGCCTCGATGACGAGAACCTACGAAAATCACAACAGCAAGCAATCACTAGCCTTGTGACTTGTTGCTGCAAATACGAAACAACTTGCACGTTCCTTATGAGACCGGAACCCATCAAGCCGCCCGGGTGGCTTTCAGCTGTGCAGCTCAGCCTTTCACGGCTACGCTGCTACCGTCCAACCGTCATGTCCCGGCGTACTATAGCAAGGGTGCGTCATCAGCATTGTGGATATAACCTTTTGCAAGGACGGATAGGAGGGCCCCGCTCGGCCATACCCTTCGCGCGTGCTTACGAGAGCTCATCCACCTGCGCGTCAGGGTAACGGGATTGTCATGGTTTAAGCACAGCTCTGCCACCCAAACAACACATCATCCTACGTTGCGATCATACTTGTGCTTGGCAGACCCATACTCTTAATCATCAACTCTTGCCACCGCCTCGCCTTGTCCGCTCAGCTAGCTCTGATCCATGGTTATCTAGTCGCTAGCGCCGAGCACCCAACTTCACTATGCGTATCATGACCAGCATCGCAGGGCATCCCACCATGGAAAACCATTCCCAGAGCAAGCCTCAACAAGGAGGAAACAAAATGCCACCTCACACAAACGTTGTAGCAGCGGCAAGCCATGTCCGTCAAATCTTTGAGACCAAGAAGCTCTCCTACAGTATCATGGGCGCGTTCGAGATGTTTTGCCTGGGGAGTGGGCGCCCAGTGTCCGACCTATACTTTGCATATGAACACAAAGACTCCAGTCGTATCAAGAAGAAGCTCGACGCAGATCGACGGTATGTTAGATCCAATTACCTTGTAACATCCACTGACGACGACAGTATTGTATTGACCGATAGCATCAACCCGTTAACCCCATCGAAGATATTGGTGCAAACAGGGCCTGCGTACCATGACATAGGATGCGTAAGCTCTGCAGCAGTCGAAGTATACTTGCTACCATCAGGTAAGTTCAATTCTGAGCCAAACGTAGCTTTGTACTAACCATTTTTGAGGTTTATACGGAACACCTCCCAGTGGCACTCTCAAAGACAATATAGTCCTGTTGGGCAACAATACTGCAGGCATGCTTAGGACTTTCAAAGGTCTAAATATGTTGTACCTGGTCAAGTCACTTATTGAGTTCTGCAAACTGCGCGATTTGAGCTGGAACCCTATGGAGAACCTGCTGCTTCTGTGCGAGCGCTACGGAGGCCAGGTTCAATCTGTTCGGAATCAGTTGGATCAGAAAGCAGCGTACCAAAACTTTCTCAACACACCCTTCTTCGCAGGCTTATCTTGTGATCAACAACGCAGGTGCTATCAAATACTGACCGGACAAGCACCACCTGCTACCACCGCAACGAATTTCTCACTCCCTCAAAGTGGCTCATCACGATCGCGTTCCACCGCCGATATACCAAATACCCATGCTATCTCGAATCACTCGTCGCCAAACATTTCCCAAGGCCTTCAGCAGATGGACAGAGAGAGGCCTTTGAGACACACTCTCAATATGGGGTCTTTTGGAAATCCTCCTCCATATTCCCCGGGATTACAGGAGGCAACACCGCCAGTAGGAGATTCAAGATCAAGATATCGTCCTATCAGTACTATCAACACTAGGCGCGTGTCCAGTGGCCCTCAACTAAGTCTCAAAATACCTAATGAATCACTCGGGGCCTCGTATACATACCGAAAAACTTCAGCGCCAATGGAAAGTATTCCACCTCTTCCACCTCGGCCATCCCAGTCAAATACTCAGATCTCCCCGATACCCAATTCTCTTCCAAGTATCCAAACTAGACGCTCTTTAACAAGATCCGGCGCCCAACGCGCAGTATCACGTGGATCATATGTTCCTGAACAAACACACACTTCTGACCCTATTCCCTTGCCTCAAAAACATCCCAAACGCCATTCAGCGGCCTTTGAAATGTCCGCAACCCCCATACAACTCAAAGACCCCCAAGGACCCACCGAACCACACGAAGAATACCCAGAACAGAAACAAAAAAGACTCCAAGTAGTCGGTCCAAACGGCCTATACCAACCCTCCTCTCCACCCCCAACCTCTGCTCTCCCATCCCCACCAACATCCTCGCACAAGACCGACTCACCACCCAATCCAATCTACGAACTCGATTCTCTCCCACCCCGTAGCCCCTCCTCCTCAAACGACCACGACGACAATGAAGACGAAGACATCATCACCTCCCTAACCGCAGACATCGAATCCGCCATGACACCCCGGGCCACGCTTTCGCATCCCCTCAGCATCAACATCCACGCCGCGTCCCCATCTTCAACCAAGAGAAACACACTACCCGCAAGTCTAATCCCAGGCTACATCAACACACAAAGACCGTACACGCCGCCAGAAGACGAGCAAGACGAGCCGGCGGAGCAGCGAGGACAGGGAATGTTGTGGGAGGGAGATGCAACGGGTCTAGCGTCGCCGCCGCTTACGCCTGCGCCGCTGGCCGTGTACAAGGCGTACCGGCCGCCGTTGGCGGTGGGGACGCGGAGTACGGGATCGACGGAGGATGAGGAGAGGGGTAGAGAATTGCGGTGTACGGATAAAGAATATAATGGGGGAAAGGATGCACGAGCGTCAGTGGAAGAGCTACTGGATTCGAGCATATTAGCTATGGAGTACCAGGCTGAGTTACCGGAGTTTGATCACGGGTACGGGACAGTGTGAGGGGGAAAAAGCAAATTGCGCACACAGAGAAAGACGGAATAATGTATGGTGCAATCATTTCAAACAGAAAAAGGGTATATACACCTATATTCTCCCATGTACAACAGTAATAACCGAATCAACGTAGCCTTTTTTTTTTGCTACAATATTTCACAATGGCACTTCCTCCATCATTTGCATGGCGCCTTCCCGGCTGACAGTGATGATGACATCTCCGAGTGTCCGGGTGGAGAAGCCGGCCTCGGAGTATCTAAAGTAATAATCCCATTTGCGCTTGAAAATCTCGGCGCCCTCGTCGTCCATGCCCTCGCTACTCTTTTCCTTGATGAGCTGCGGCTTGATGGTGGATCCCCAGGAGTCCAGGAACTTTTCGCGCCACAGCCGCAGAGCCTTGGCGTAGTGGGGCCCAATGTTTTCGATGCTGTCGACAATGAGAGAGCCCTCTGATCCCGTGTTAATTGATGCTACGAGCTCTGAGACGGCGGGGAGATGGCCGCCGGGGAAAATGTAGCGGCGGATGAAGTCGTCTGATTTGGCATAGGCTTCGTATCTAGCATCGGGCATGGTGATGCATTGGAAGCAGGCGATACCTCCTTCCTTCTTGAGCAGCTTGTCGATGCACTTGAAGTACGTGACGAGGTATTCTTTGCCGACAGCCTCCAGCATCTCAATTGACACGACCTTGTCAAAGGGTCCTGTTTCCGGGACTTGCAGACTGCGGTAGTCGCACAGAAGTACCGAGATCTTGTCAGACATGCCTGCTGCTCTTATGCGCTCCTCTGCCAATTCCTTTTGCTCAATGGAAAGAGTGAGAGAAGTCACCCTGCAGCCTGTCCGCTCGACAGCCCGCATGGCAAAGCTTCCCCATCCTGTACCAATCTCCAGAACGTGATCTGTTCCCCTGATGTGTGTGTTATCAATGAAGCGGTCGAGCTTTCGCATTTGCGCCTCGTAGAGGCTTTCGTTCGCTGAGAGTGGGTTCGATTTTGGAAGCCATATAGGGCACGAATAGGTCATGTCTTGCGAGAGGAATGCAGCGAACATCTCGTTTGAAATATCATAGTGTGCGGAGATGTTGAGGCGAGCATTTCTGAGGTTGTTGCTGCCTCTTAGTAAACCAGCAAGGCCAGTGGAGATTGCAGAGGTGAAAGTTGAGCCGTTGGAGAGGTAGTTGCGGTTTAAGATGAAGAGCTGTACACGTAAGTTTCTCTGCAAATCGAGCAGTCCTCAGCTTCAGAAGCTCACCTCGAAGAACTTAGTAAGATCCGGTGTTGAGACCTCCCCCAGCATGTAGCTCTCTGCAAAGCCCTGTTTTCTTTTGTAAGCATTCGGTCGATTGACCCCTCCGAAATTCATTGAGATGCCTACCATGTCTGCAAAAAGTGCAATTCGCACCCAGAACTTCTCGTCGCGTACATCCAGGAAAGCAATTGGAAGGCCTTCCTTGTCCGAACCAAACGCTACCGAGGATTTGCTGGAGCCGCCTTCGAATACCACAAGCTTACCATGCTTCAGATTCTGGAATTGTGAAAGGGTTCCATTTTTGCACAGGCTGACCAATGGTCCCCAACCTTGCGACGTGACCGGACTTAGGATTGAAGACACAGCACCTGTTACTGAACTGTATATCGCCATCTTTTCGGATTATTTTGCCGCGCAAAGAAGTTCCAATGGGACTGCAGATTCAAATACTCAGGTGTGCGTCTATAGTGAGGAATACGACGATTGGTTCCTTTAAGCGCCTGACCAACATACAGGCCCCGCTGTGATGCGTTGGTGATGAGCGTGCGGGGTCACGTTATCGCTCATATGATAGCCAATCGAGTTGCAACTAATATGTGAAAAGGCCGAAAAGCAACGCTACAATGGTATCGTAAAGACGCGAGAAGGAAACGGTACGAGGAATATGAACAAAAAAAGCTGCTCAAGCCTGAAGCAGGGCATACAACTCTATTTCAGAGCTCCAGGTGGCTTGCCGTCTGCTGGCCGCACTGGCCGAAAGCCGAACCGGAGCATTTGTTTACACCGTTGAGAAGCTATGCGCCTGGTGGAGACTATGGGAAGTGTAATGCAGCCGGTGAACCTTGCCATTTTGAGTGATCAATGACGCCGTCTATCCGCCTAAATATTGTGCGTAAGTGGTGCATGTCCGAGCCGGGAGCACATGGACAGGGTGGAAGAAACATGGCAGATTTGCAAAGTCGCATGGAAGTCTGTTCCTGGATTGCCATGGATATTGCCATAATTGAGAGGTACTGAAATGAAAAGGCTGTCGTGTAACAGAGCCGCAGGTTAGGGTTCAAGAAGCATATGTTCCGAAGCTTGGTGAGGGGTAAGTTATGCAAGACCATAGTACTAGATCCTAGCGTCTCGGGCCATTGGCGGCCTCGCGATCAGAGTCTGGGAGAGAATCGACGCCGGCAGGTTGTGCGGACTCGCAAACGCCATGGCCACAGATTGCAATCACTAGGTAGGGCCGAAGGCCTACCCTGGAAAGTCGGTAGTCGATAGAAGTGGGAGCCTTGTGTTCCGTTTGTTGTAGGATTCGTGTCGTTGTTCCGGAACCGGAGTCAAGGGCGACGAGGTGCGCATATCACCATCATGTTGAACCTGGGGGCTGGCCAAACGTGGTGAAGAAAGGATTGAACAAGGAAGAGAGATGAACAAGGAAAACGGGTTGATTTTGTGCGCCTGTAGCCTGCTTTACTATATCACAGCATCGTCATCATGAGCTGCAATTTTAGTCCGTGCGCCGCGGACACGCTTACACACGGCGACAGCGCGTCAACGCGTCTTCCGCGGCTGCGCTTCACGTGTTGCCAACTACACCACAACCACACAGTCGATCAGTGAAACAAACCTCTAAAAACGAAGCACGCCAAACTATCACCCAGAATGCTTGCCATTCAGCACTCCAAACCCCAGAAGTGCACCCCAAACCTTCTCCCCGCACGCATAAACCATAATGGCCCTATTCCTTCAACATCACAATACTGGAAGCCCTCCACCGATGATAAGGGCACCCAACACGCCCACTTCCGCGGCCGACACCTCCATGGCACTATCGTGCCTCTTCCAGAAAACTACACCGGCGCCATCCTCGCAGTGACGGACAAGCAATTACCGCAGTCCAGACAACCCGCGCAGTCAGATGGTGACGAGACAATGGAGGACGGAGGAGAAGAAGAGAGCATACCTGTAGAAGTCAAGATTGCAGAACAAGTAGGAGAATTTGACGAGGTCGTTATTTGGGGGCACGGAAGAGAAGTGGACCCGGGGCAGGACATGTTTGTCAAGGGATTAAAAGAGTGGGTGGGATTTGCAGAGAGCATGCATCTTGACGCAGACGACGGGACGGTCACAAAAGCGGAAACCGGGAAAGAAACGAAGGGTTGAGGGATCGCCATTATGCTGTGTTGGATTGCGAACACCACGAGTGTTTGGTGCACAGGGCTATACGAGTCGAGTCGTATTGAGAAACATGCGAGATGTGGTATACGAGCATCAGGGCTGAATCGTTGTCAAAAAGATCAAAGCAACGTCAAGTTTCATGCTCTACTGTTTGAACACCCGGGTCTTGTTTCACGCAGTCCTCTAGTGTGTAGACGACTACATGCAAAGACGATGGGCATGACGAAGAAGCAGATCTATACTACGATGAAAGAGCCAACTTGACGCTGCCTGAGATAAATTCAAAGTGTAAACAAACAACACAAAAACATCATACCAACCAACATAAAACCCCCCCTCATCAAACTCCCTCACATTTCCCTCTACTCCAACCACCCCCTGACAATCCCCTTACCCAAACATTCTCATTCATTCATTCATTCATTCATTCAAAACGCGCTGCACACCCTCAACCAGCCAAACCCATCAACCAGCACTGGAAAGCCACGCCAAAAGCGGCCCAAATTCCGCACCCACACCACATCCCACGCCCACCCGCTCTTCCTTCGCCACCGACTTATCAATCAACAGTGGGGGTTCTCCCCCACCGATCTGTGCCTGCCGCCCTGCCACCAACGAAACCCGGGTAGTCGGGTTCCGAGGGTGCGAACGCGAGCTGCAGTAGGGATTGGCTAGGTGCATGTGTACTGGGAGGCTTAGTTTGATTCGGATGGAGCAAGGAAGGAAGTGAGGTTTCTGTGAGTGTGTGTGGGTATGGAAGGAGGGGGGCAGGGACAGGGTAATGAGGGTTGTATTGGGCTTGGAGATCGAGTGAGAGTTGTGTGCGTGGAGATTAGGTGGGGGATGGTAGGGGGAGAGGAGATTTGGGGATTTGGGGATTTGGGGGTTTGGGGGTTTTCCTGTTTTTTGTGGGGGGCCCAGAGAGATGAGTAGATGGATTGTTAGAATTGATAGTTGGATCGATATCGTATATCTCCGATTGCAAATTCTGCCGTCTTACAAACAAAAAATATTGAAAGATGGCCAAGACAGAGTTGTCTCAATTCCCATCTCTTCACAATTTCGATTCACTCTCACCATTCATACCCGTATCCGAGAAATCGACAAAACTTTCTTCGCCATCGAAATGCCTAAATTACGTCAAAGTAGTCAGTAAGCTACAAACCCACAATAATTGGTAAGATGTTTATCCAAACAGTTATCACGGGGAATACCTCGTGCAAACTTCAGCCCTGTGGATGCCCAATCCCGACTAACACCAACAAACTCGCATGTAAAAAAAACAAATAACCAGAATCACATGAGCAGTGATCACAAGACACAAATCCCAAGAAACATCAAGAGATAAGAAAAAAACAGGTTACACTTACCAACCTCTTTCAGCACCGCCAGACAAGAAAGATGTCTCAGAGTTGAGCTCACATTCCCAGTTCCCGGCGATGCCCTTTTCGGGGTCTGCCGACCTCCGAACGAATCTGGATAGGCCAGCCGTATAGCACTTAAAGTCGTCTTCATCGGGATTCTCCGGCATCTGACCTGTCAGTACCCTACCAGCAGCAATCATAGTAGCCGCATGAGTGCAAAGCAAAACACTTTTTGGGTGCTCCGGATCATTATCAAGGGTCGTGACAATATGCTCTAGCGCCTTCCTAACACGTTGGTGCAGTTCCACAATCGACTCACCCCTGGACCCCGCCATGTGCACGGAAACATAATCGGCATCCAAGTTGTCAAAGTGCGGAGTCAGGAGCTTGAGACTGGGCGGCTCCGGATGTTCAAAATGGGCGCGTCCAAAGAACTCCCTGTGCACAGACTCATGTATTAGTTACAGTAGACTCTTTTTGGTGCTCACACACTTGTGTCTTTTCGCCAGAAGATCTACTGTCGGCCCGTACTTACCCTATCCCACGGTCGACCCTAATTTTACCCCTGGTCTCTTTCCCCTCATTGAAGTACGTGTCGCTGAATGGCTTCAGCGTCTGCAAGCAGCGATAAAACGGGCTAGAGTAGATCCTGTCCACCGGAGGCTCTACTTTGGCTAGATAATTTGCCAGCTCCTTACTCTGCTGTACGCCTTTGGCCGTCAGTGGCGGGTCGGTCGGTATGCCGGTTGGTGTGCGTGCCATGGACGCGGTGTAGACACCTGTTTGAGGGTCCACCGACCAATTTGCCCGAAACTAGACATGACAAAAACACCGTCAGAACACGTTTTCATGATGACGGTCAGCAGATCGGAGTGCGGAGAGATCGTGACACCAAGGCTTGACGGGCGGCTCATTTTGCGGAACGGCTACTCCGTATGACACATGACAAAGTTGGAAGGAACGCGCAGTGAGAAAGGGTAGTAACGCAGGGACGAATGAGACGGGTGAAAAAAATGCCCAGGGAAATCAGGATTCATCTAACATGGCCAGTGGTGCATTTGACGCAACGATGAACCCAGGACGGCTTCTAACACAGTAGTAGAGAGATAGCAGACTTTATACTTACCGCATGTCGGACAATATAGACAACCTCTATCATAGCTTCGGATTTTTTTTCTTTCCCGCGCGCTTCCCTGACAGCGGCTATGATCTTAGTGTTGAGCAGTGCTGGCTGTCAAGCGCACGTACGAATTGCCTTGTGATGGAGAGAGTTCGCTACCAATCTCCCCAAATGCCTCGGTTAATCACACTTCCGAGATGCTAGCTCTGCGCGCAATGCTCAAGAATGGCTGTTCGTCTTGGGGGCCGCGGGCCTTGGAATTGCTGATGATATTGGTCAGTGATTGCTGTGGCCGCACAATTTCCCTTTCCCAATGGAAATATGTACATACGCAGTGCTGCAAGCGAGGTGAAACAATCGGACCGTTCCTCCCATCCCATGCCCGACCCTTTTGGATGCATGTGTACAGACTACTAGTTAGTATACGCACGTTAGCAAATAGTCATCATTCGTGTGTGAAGCACCTTGCGTGGGTTCGTTGATCAGCACGGCAGTCGAGACTTGCTTTTGCAGTTAAGCCACACACCGCATCATCGCCGTCGTCATCGGTAAATCCCACGCTTCTAGCCCTACGCCTACAGCCGACCTGCGTAGGATCTGCTAACGCAACCCTCACCTGAGATATTTCAATAAAAATACATGATTGCCGCAGTCGCGGTGGAGGAACGCGCCAGCCCTTGGACGAAGCGCGCGGGCGAGCTGCGTGAATTCTTGCTCGCCCTGCTGACTGCTTACTGCGAATCTAAGAACGTACGCTCGCTTGCCTAGGTTGAAGCTTAATACCCGTTTTAAGGGCCTTGATGGACGGGAGGCTGGAACGGGTTCCTTCACTCGTAGAAAATCGAACGGCCGTAGCAATGGTTGGATGACCGGCGCATTCTGTTCGACCCACGCGACGTCAAGTCCTTCACATGCCCTTTATGATTTGGGACTAGCCAAATCTTCGCTTTTGCTCGCGGGACAGTATCGCTAGCGGCGGTGCAATTTGCGAAACGAAAAAGCGGTGCGCTGACGGTACTAAGGCTGAGGAGGAGCCTCGTAGGGCCACTAGATTAGTTCTAAGGGAGGTTTGCAAGAGCACGGAGGGCGGACAACTCGGTATGACTTAACACACTGTGTGTTAGACCTGTAAGAAATTGTCCAGGGCCCTGGAATCTCCAAAACATTGAGCATTGATGGGCATTTGTGATTGGGTAGCCTTGTCCGCCACCTCTAAATGCGTCTTATTCGTTGTAAGTAAGCAAAACGGCGCGACCTGGTACGCTCCGGCACTTGTCTTATGGTTTCGGCATGTGCCATGCTGCAGCCTGCTCAGAATGCGACTTCACAAGGGTGCAGCCACTAACGATCGCGGCTGTCTTCGTGGTGTGGAGGGTGCTTTGCCGTCTAAGTTACATGTTGATATGCAGGATCGTGTAGCGTGAGTGATGGAGTCATGTCCAAACTTTGTATATAATCAGCAAGGGTTCCAACGTTTCGAGAAGGCTAGGTTGCTGTCCGTCTCCGTTGTGTTGGGTACTTGGAGGATCGCTTCGAGAAAACTTGGCTTGTGCGCACTGCTGGGAGGACTTCTACGGTTAGGACCTCATCCCGAGTACTTCCGCCCGCCGGAAAACAAACACTCTTCTGGATAGCGTAGCTAGCATCACGCGCACGGCTGTTATCCATTGCTGACACACATGTTAGCAATCAGGCATTTACTTGGGCAGTTTACGGGAGAAGTCGCTGGGGTACTGTATGGCGCTTCTACAACACTGTCTCTGTGGTAAGGAGGGCACATGACATGGTCTCGCCATTTGAAGGCGTCGTTGATGATCGCCAAACTAAACCAGGCTCATCAAGACCGCTAACTTGGTACCAGCGTAAAAAAGGAACCGTGGACTGATAATGCCGAGGGGCTAAATGGGCCCCTGTCAGAAACTCGGGACCCAATTGTAGACTGACATTGTAACGTGGGCGGGATGGTGGTGCACTGCTACACCAGAATCAGCAAGGGTATGCGAATCAGCCCCTCATGACTCCTGTCTTCAGGGCTGCTAGCCACGCGAAGATAAGCCAGAAGTTAGCCACTTTGCGATGCGCTAAACTAAGGCTGACAGTCGCTATTGTAGTTTAGTCGCTATTGTAGTTTGGCAGATGTATGTAGCACCTCCTCAGTAGTCGCTGCATAGTGCGCAAGGAGCCATGGCGTGCGACGGCAGTTTAAAATAATCCCGTGCACCTGGAACAAAGCAGCGAGCGCCTTCAGCCTTGTAGTTTGCTTCAGGTTGCTGTAACGTGGCTGACGTTGCCCCTGGTCCTGCGACCCAGAGAGATGGTATTGTTAGGTCTCAACAGACACCGTCACTGGAGCCAAGATGCATTCTGCGCGCTCCTTGTCAACGAATCGGCGTAACTATCGCGTGAATTTTGTACTATACTTGTCAGCTGTCATGGTGTAGCTGCGTATGAAAGTGCATAGGAGCACGCGAGAGCGAATTAGAAGCTCGTCCTGCTCTTCTTCAAGCCCCCTTCTACCACTATAGAGCGGGCAGTGTTAATACTGGCGCAGAGGCTTATTCTCGTTCAATTTAGCCTTACTTGGTTGACCGACCCACCTTGCTGGGTGGACTTGTTATGCTTGGCAATTGAGCGCCACTCACTCACGTGTGTAATCGATTGGGTGTCCAGGGCTTACGCATGTCAATTTGTTGGATGAGGAGCATCCCCTGTGTCAATGCTCAACAGTCATTGCGGCTGCGCCCACCTTGACATTGATAGGGCGGCTGCCCGTGTGATCCACTTCTGGGGTCAATTTCGTGGGGTAGAACGGTAGAACCCTTTCATGACTTTCATGACAGTCTATCGTAACCAATAGCCCCCACTTGGAACGAGCACATGTTCCCGAACCTACCCGAGTCCGAATGAAGCTGTACTCATTCAGGTGCCATGGATAGAAGAAACAAACAGTTGAGATGTTTTCTTTGAGGAAATAGGACGTGGGATGGGGACACGGCACGAGGGGCTGAAGTAGGATCTGGGCGTAATGAATACCACTGAACAGGGACCCATGCAAATGGGTACGTAGAACTTGTGATTGCAGAGGCGTTCAATTGCTTGGCAATGAAATCAGTGTATTGACTTGGAATTAATGGTATTCGGTGATAGAAATCCAAGTGACTATGAAACTCAGCTGGGAAACAGAGTCAGTAAAGGGTTTCGTGATTTATCGTACAGGACATATTAGGGGCAGTAAAGAACAAGAACGTGTGAATGCAAAGCGGAGAATGGCGTGATGCGAACCCGCGGAAACGACTTATTTTGCAACAGTGTCGTAGAGTGGGATGTCTCCATTTGCCGCTCTGGTTGTGGCGCGTGGGGAGACCTTGCCTCTCATTCCAAGCTTTGTCTCAGTGACCCAGAGGCGTAGGGCGATAAGATACCGCACAATGACGAAAACGATGATAGCCGCCACAAGAATGCCCACGATGTAGCCAGCAACAACACCTGAGGAGTTCTTCTGGAGGTTAAGAAAGGGGTATACGTAAAAGCCTTGAGTGGCGTGGGTAAGGTAGGCCAGGCCAAGGTAACAAGCCAAGAGGAGGATAACGGGCACTAGGTCCAGCCAGGGCAATCTAGTGGTACTGGGGAAGAGGATTTCGCAAAATGCGTAGAGCGAATTGAGAGCGTGCTGTGACGTGTTGGACCAGATGGAGAACGTGGTGGGGAAATCAGCCGCAAGGAGAGTCCAGAAAACAACTGGTTGAAGTAGTCAGTTTCTTGAATACATGCAACGCTAAGATGAGCGTGACTTACTGGTTACGATCCATGGATAGACGACAATGGTGGAGTAGAACATGCTGTGGGCGACCTGCAGCGGCTTGGGCCAACGCGCCAGGAACGACGTGCCCGTGAGCCAATAGCTGGCCGTGTGCACTGCAGAGAAGGCATAATAGAAAGCAAGACCCCAATACGTCAAGACGGTAAAATAGGAAAAGGATTGCCGGGATTCCTCAGATCTGGCGTGCGTAGCGTTCCAGCCAAAGATGGTAAACAAGGTCGTAAATGCATACAGGGCCAGGAGTACGCGGTAGCCAAACAGAAGGCTGGGAGGCAGGGCCCAGGACGTAACAAATCGCGTGGGGTCGAAGTGGCCGGAGTAGGGCGCTGTTATTCGGTGACCAATAGCCATGACGGGGGTGGAAGGGTGCCCTGCTCCCGTACCGCAATAGCTGCCCAATCCTCGGAACGCACCGGTAAGAGATGCGCGAGTGCCAGAACAAACGAACAACGGTGTTTGCGATGGGTTGTGAGCGGGTTTCGGGTGGTGGTGATGCTGCGACGTGGTGTCGCGAGGATACTACCAGCAAAACTCAGTTTGCCCAATTTCCGAAAACGAAGCTGAAAAGGGCTCTGTCTCCGATTCGAGTCAGGACGGACTGCAAAGGAGGCGCTAAGGCAGCCGCACTGCGCTAGGCCGCTTTGGGCCTACGCCTGGTGATCAAGACGATGCCCATCGCCGGTGCCTTCGTAATGTAACGAAACTACTCCCCCTGGCCTCCGCTTGGGCTCCCCACGCTTGCAGATATGGCTGGACGGCGAGGTCTGTTCCCACATGCACTCCCAGACGCTGCCGGGGTCATGCCTGCTCCTTGCTTTGCATACTGGCCGCTGGCATGTACTTCTGCATTCTACTTTAAGACTGCATGCCATCAAGTCTGACCACATATTACCCGGAATGCTCATGCAAACTCTGCCTACCAGGCCACCTTCTGCTCTCCAGCTCTACGCTACGACGACGACGTCTGTCCCATCATCTCCAATCGAAACATGAGCGACTCGAGGATATCAGTACGCACACCTCTCCCACTGCTCCCACTGTAGGCCATCACTGACCAATGGCAGCAGAAAGCGCAGCACCTTGCTCGTATTCGGGACAACCAACGTGAGTCCTTCATGCTTTCCTACACATTTGCTGTCTTGAGATTCCGTCTTGCCACCTTGTTCGACGTCGCCCACTTGTCTATCATCTTTCACCAGAAGTCACGTGTCTGATCAGACTGCACCCGGTGCTCGGTCTGTCGGATACCTATAGAATCTCCACTAACACTTGTATCTTACAGGACGCTCACGCGCTCGTCGTAAAGAATACCTGCAGGAACTTGAGACCAAGCTGCGCACCTATGAGCAGATCGGCATCGAGGCTTCCTCAGAGATTCAGAGCGCTGCGAGGACAGTGCTCGAGGAGAACCGCAAGCTCAAGGCGATCCTCCGCGATCAAGGAATGTCCGAACAAGAAGTGTCAGCCGTATTGGAAAATACACCAGACCAGCACAGCAAGCAAGTCCCTGCAGCATCCAGGCTGAGTGAAATGCTCGAAGGCAAAACCAAGCCAGACCTAAACACCTCGACAACCTCCCACGTAGCTTCCCACACAAAGCCCACCTTAATCCCTCGACACACGCCGCCAGTCCAAACCATCAGTTCCATACCTCCACGATCCACGGATTTCAGTTACGATGATTCACCAAGCCCTGGCTCGATAATATCGGCTATGAGTACCCCGCCTCCTTCTTCCTATTCCACTACGTTCTATGCCGCACCTTCAACCCCGCCTGGCACCGAGATCAAGATAGAGGACGTCGCCTACGAATATCCCTACAACCGCCCATACAACAGCTCTTGGACTCATTCGGGAGATTTTGGCTATCCGGCAGATCCATTCAATTACTACAACCGTTCTACATGCGTCGAAGCCGCCAACATTGTGAGCACAGCGCGATCGGACCCTGGCACAGAGCTGGACACTAGCATGGGATATCGCTATCCTGATCAATACAGCCAAATGAACAATGCGGCACTTCTTAACATGATGAATGGCTACTCCCACCATGCCGCCCCCATGTGACTGGACAAGTCAGGCCGTTCAAATACATCGGCTCTACGTCACTACTAGCGCATCCACCTCTGCAGAGAGAAGACTCGTGGAGGATGAACCTCAACAGGAAGTCGCGAAGCTAGCCATGCTCAAGCCATGGCTCAGGTGCACGCTGATACAAATCACTGCATATCCAGCTTCGCCTCGCCATATACACACACGATGCGATCAACAGGGAGGGTTGCAGACCGGTGCTGCCCTGAACTGAAGACACCCACCTAGTGTACAACAATACCCATGTGGCCTTGGAGACTAAAACATCTCCCACATATACAACGGATCGAATACCTTGTCAACAGCGTCACAGTTTTTTTTTACCTACCTTTTCATTAGATTACGATATCTCTATAGACTGTGCTTAATGCCAGTAAGCACAATGAATGATTCCAGCTATTCAAGCTCCTTGTCTCTTTGTTTACGCAGTCTCTTGCTGCCGGCATATCATCCTGGCCATCCTACGCACCTCTACCCTTGCGATGAAAGAATAACCGGAAAACATTCCGTCTGCATCATGGGTATTCCCACAAATACTTGTATGGGCACTTCTAACTACTTGTTACCCCACCAGAATTCTCTTGTCGGCTTTCAGTACTTGTTGTTTCATCCAATCTGAAATTTCTGTATCAAAGGATTGCATCCATGTTTGGTGCGTCCAAGTTCGGTGCACACAATACATTGTATAACGGATCCCAGGCAACGTTCTGATATCCGTATTGTTTCTTTGTTTTCCAAATCAGTCGGTACCTGGCAACTCTACAGATGTGGCATTCGGTATTGTTGTGCGCTAACAAAGACGAAAGTTTGAAAGAACAGAAAACAAGTAAACATGTCAAACAAAGGCCTTTGTAAGAAGCACTCACGATCACTATTCATCTGTAGACATCTTATGGCACTTGACTCTGATTTTTTTAGAATTCAAGAAATTTCGGAGTGTTCACTGATCTAATATGCCCCCCAAGCGCCAAGGAAACAGAAGCAAGAAAGGCCCAGTATCCAAGGGTCCCGATTTGAAGAAAGAATATGAAGATGCCAGTCGTGCGTCTATTCCGGTAGACTGGGCAATACCCAAGGCGAAGCGGAAAAATGCTTTTGATCGAAAGTACTTGGATGATTACGCTCAGCCTTTGTACGAGAGAGAACCGGACGAGCTACGACCAATGCAAGCAGGCTTGCCCGAGGCTCAAATACGCACGCCAATTTATCAGAAAGATGGCAAGGACATGGTTGCAGGAGATGCAAATCAATCCAGTGCAGCATTGCGCGACCTTTACAATGAGATCAAGAGGCTAAGTGCCAAGGAGCCAGACGGACTTCATGATATTGCTGCACTTACTGGGCAATTTGAAGAGGGAGACGAGAATGCTGCCGTGGTCCTATCAAGAGCAGAGAATCAAGAAGTATTTGTCTTGGACACAGAACGACGTCTGCAAGTGTACGTAGGGCTTTGTCAAATTTTGTAGTTCTCTGCTAACCTAGACTAGAACCGTCAATGATCAAACTGCTCACGTCGATCTCATCCGACGGGTACCAACAGGCGTGGGGAACCAGAGGCTAGGCCATTTTATCGAAGTCCCCCTGGGGACATCGATCACCGTCAATGGTATCACATACACCAATCAGGGTAGTTCCTCGCCTACACCCTTTTTCATCGGTCCTCTTGAAGACTTTGCCGTTATTGAACTGCTTTCACAGCCGCTATTCTTTTTCCGACATGAAGGCAGCTTGAAATATAAGGCGACGACTAGAAAAGCCGCCCAAGACGAGATGGAGCGTCGCGATAGAAACGGAGATGTTGCCAGAGATGACGTGATAATCAGGTGGCTTCCAATTGGGTCACCAGAGGTGACCTCACAAGAAGTTGGGAATGAGGCAGAGACTACGGAATCCATGTCTGAACTGTTCCAAGCTCTCGCGAATGAACAAATACAGCATGAGTTTGCGGAAGTTGAGGCAGTTGAAGAAGTCGAGGAAGACGAATATTCCGACGCATTCACAGAGGACGGTCGGCGAATTGAGAATCCACACAGCTATTTTAAAACACGTCTCAACCAACATTTGGAAGATAAAGTAGCTTCTCTCATCCCCAGAGTGATCGCTTCCATCAACCACCGACAGCCAGAAAATGCTGGGTTCAGTTTCATCCATGAAAGTACCGTCTTCCGACCAGACAGAACATTACTCACTGCCCTCACCCAACAGTCTGGTCGCAATCTCCTACTCGTAGCCCAGGTTCAACAGCCAGAAAAAAGAATCAGAGTTAGAGTCCTCTATCCGCTGTTCTGGCGTAGTTCAGGGAGCCATCTCAGTAAGATCAATCAAAATTTGCGACGTTGGATTTTGGCGTCTGGATCGAGCGAGCAAATGACGGAGAACCTACTCATGGATACCGAATGGGTGCCCTGTGCGCAGACCACTACCCAAGAAGCTTCTTCAACATATACAATTTTGAATGCGTGGGCCTTAGCTATGGGTTTAGAGCCCAATCCAGAATTTACGCCAACTCGCCATGGTGACGAAGCCTTCTTCATTCAAGCAGAGGGGATGTTCCATCTTGCTTTAGAGAACGCCTTGACTTGGAAACTGCTTCTTTCGTTTTTACATTGCACTGAATTTGTGAAGCCAGCTGTTACGAGGGAGACTGATGATGACGAAGATGCTGACCTGCCAGCTCAGGATCGCCGTTTTGATCTGCGAAAACGCCCTTTTGACACTCTGATTGCTAATCAGACAAAAGCCGACGAGACTTTCCCAGCAAAGGAAATAGAGACGAAGCAGACTCCCGTGCAGCTCGAAGATGGCATTCTTCACAGCGAAACAAACCGTTCAGATTCGCTCTCTAACAAACAACTGAATGAGCTGTTACCCCTTGTGCGTGAAGGAAGATGGAGACTGCAAGATATTGCAAAGCGGCCAGAACAATACTACTACGAGGACACAGAAACATCTGAAGAGTCTTTCGAGACTCCCTTGCCGGTGAAAGATTCACCTGTCCAGCCTCTTCAATTGGATACCTTTCCCGTACCAGCTGAGTTCAGTCTCTGCGAATATCTCCGTGAAGAGCTGAACAAGCTAGCCAATGGTAATCAGATCAATCAGAATGATCAACTAGAAGCACTTACAACAAAGACACCCCCGTTAACCAAGAACGAGATCCGAGAGAGCATAGCATCCGTTATCCGAGCCGTCAACCAACGCCACCCCCCAGGCGCAGGCTTCACCACCGAATCCTCCAAAACCGAGCTCGAATCGTCCATCACCAAAAACGGAGACTTAATCTCAGTATACATGCTAGAGGCAACCGAAACGCACAACCTCTGCATCCTGACACAGAACTCCGGACCCAACAAGAATACCGACACCGTCATCGACTCCGCACCCTGGCTAACAAGCAAAGCCACCAGAGCCAAGATATTTAGTCATCTCGGCTCCCAGGAACCCATCACAGGGCTTCTTAAGTGGGTGTTTGCACCGCAACAGGCACACGAGCATCATGACGGATATCATGTTGTGCTTAACGCATGGAGTATCTTGTTGAATTTGCCTTTGAACGGCGGGGGCTTCGTTTCAAGCCCAGAATTCATCCGCGATGCACGTCACGTCATTCAGGCTGCGCTGCGGGGCGAGGCGAACTGGCTACTTATCTGGGCTTTGCTGCGCTGTCATGAGTACGTAGCTTCGACGGAGGCACCGGGGCTAGGCAGGAGATTTGCTAGGACGATACCGGAGAGTGAGCAAGAAGCGTATGAGGCGTTTATGCGAACGAAAAAGGGGGAATTTGTCAGGGAGCGTGTGAATGTGTGTGAGCTATTTTTAGCTGGATCAATCCAAAACCACGACGATTCATTCCTTTGGGATCGTCTCGATACGGAGGATCGAAACACAAGGATTCCCGAATTACAGCGCAACGGGCTTTTCGACAGCACTTTGTCTCGCGACGAGATCCGAAGTCGATATGCCACACTGAGTAAACATATCAGCCCGTGCGAGTCCCTGCGAGATACCCTGAGTCAGCTGCTAGCGAATGAGGAGATACAGAAGGAGTTGGAAGAATTTCGAAGCAACGACATAATAACGACAGAGAAGGGAGAGTGGCTAGACGATTCTGAAAGCGCACTCGCTATAAGCGCCGTCACCATGGCCATCAACCAGATGCAGAGTATCGAAGAAGGATTCAGCATCGTTCAAAGTCAATTCGTGCAGTTATGCCAGGCTTGCGGAGGGGCTGACATGGAAAACTGTATGCTCGACGCTCTTCGTCCTGGGCGGCCACTGCTTGCTCCAATCTCGTTCAAGAGCCATATTGTTCTTCTCCTTGCCCAATTAGACGAGCAAGGCCGACCAACAATTTCCTTTGTGGATTCTTTGTTCTGTCATTACGATGCAGAAGATCGTGAGAAATTGTTCAATATTGGCTGGCAGGTTCTCCGTGGCTCCTCTTGGTGGCGGGGTGTCTTCGCGGATAAAAATGCCTTTGAGAAGGTGAAACCAAAGTCCGCGACGTGGGTAGAGACAGCTCGCCAGCCGAGCTCGAACGAATGCGGATACTTTACGATCCTGAATGCATGGGGTCTGGCTATGGGATTGGAGCTCAATCAAGATGTTCGACTGCGATGGACTGATTCGTTCTTCCAAGAGCTGCAAGACATGGTGCATCTTGTGCGTCTCGGACACGCCAATTGGAAACTCATGTTTGATTTCCTGCAGTGTCACGACATTGTTCGAGATGGTATTGTACCGGGGAACAGGCGATTTTCTAGGACTCATTCGACACGGGCCGAGCCAAAATTTGATGATAATCTGGCAAACCTCCTGGCCACGGAAAAGTTGCACTGGGCTAGACAAAAATATCAGACAGAAGCGTTGGAACGCATCCGAAATGCGAACCGCATTCCAAACATGACTGGGAGACCACATAACGGGAAGAAAGCGTTCCCTTCCGACGGATGGATTGATGTCACAAAGAAATATGAATACGTGCCACGACTGCAGCGTTTCGGTCTCCTCAACATTGATCATAGGGAGAGGGAAATGGAGGCAGCCTTTAGAAATCTGTCGAAGACCCGAGTAGAAAGCTGCCTAAAGAAATTACCACCAGCAAACTCGCAGTCTATTACATCCAACCAAGAAGCCCTTCTACAAGTAATCCGCGACGAGATCAAGTTGCAGTACGAAGGCATGGACTCAGACATCCAAAGGGAGCCCCACGAATGGATCGAAGATACCCTTGATTTTTATGACCAAATTCGAAAGACCGCCAAGCTGCAGCAGATGCTGAGCAACAAGGGTATTGTGAAACCGAATGACTGGCAACGTCTTATGGAGGACTCCGATTTGAACCTCGCCATGGCATCTGTTCTGGAAGCCATTGACAACCTACAGTCGGGTCTGCACGCAGCGTCGGGATCGCAACACCCCTTTGCCAGTGGTTTTGCTTTGACAACCAGCAACGCCCTCCAGATGGCACTGCACGGGATCGAAAGCGTCCCCTTCTCGCGCCCGCGAAGGACCTGGCTCATCCCACTAGTCGCGACCAAAAACGGATTACTAGAGCAACTCGAAGTCTGGGCTAAGACGAACGGCAAGAAGTATAAAAGCCCCACTGGTCGTGCAGGCGGTCACGCATTCCTCGTCGTCGTCCAAGAAGCAATCAACCACGACCCCGAAAACCCAGCCGAGACGCGTTTCGAAACCCACATTTTCGACAGCTGTCTCCGCATCTTCGACGATGTTCGAGATTTCTTCAGCGTGCGCGTGGAAAATGCCGCTGCGTCACTGAAGTGGTCGACGCAACGCAACGAATTCGGTGCTGTGCAATTCGACACTGGAGCGTTCATTCACGAGAACCTTCCTCAGCAGATGGCAGGGGGTTTCCAGTGCGGTCACCACGTATTGATCAACGCCTGGATCATCGCCATGGGCCTTCACTTCGACCCCGAAGCGCAATACACCACCGAGATCTACAAACAGCTCTACACGCTTGCTCAAGCCGCTACGGCTGGTATTCTCGACTGGCGAACCCTGGCCGCGTGGTTCTTCTGTCACAAGCTCACCGTCGAGCGCACTTTTGATGCCGTACCCGAGAATCGCCGGTTCGGATGTACCGTCGTGCAACGCGATGAGCGTACGCTAGAGGGTAGGATTACAGAGCAGTATGCAGTCCAAGATGCGGCGCTCGAGATGTTCAGCCTGGCGCAGGTGCCGTATGATTATTCGAATAACTTTGTGATGATTGGTGGCGAGAATGGCGGAGAGACTAGCTGGGAGCATACTGAGAATAGTGGAGAGGATAGCGATAGTTCGAATAGTTTGTTTGGGTTGAAGAGGCGCGTTGATGATGCTGAAGGGGATTTTCTGGAGAAGCGCAGGGGAATCAAGAGGAAGTGGACGAGGGGCCTGAGGTTCTTGGATCGGTATGGTGAGGGCGATGGTGAACAGAATGCAGGAGGCCAGGCTGGGAAGAAGCGCCGGTTGCTTGGTCATTTGACTCCGCTGGATGTTCAGGATTAGAAGGTAGCTAGCTAGTCTGTCTTTTCGTTGTAGCAGGCGTCATGTATTGAGTACATCTTTTTCTAACATCCCTCTCTGGGTTACCGGACACCCCCTGTGGCCGGAAAAATGATTGGTATTTTGACGTTTAGTAACTGGTTGCATCAGATCCAGTCCGAAGTAACGTACATCCCTTTGCAACGGAACAACCGCCGTAACGGACAAAATTATAGGTACTTTGACTTTGCAGCAACATCATAGCCTGCAATCAT